ACGCCTCGCATCCAAATTTGCGTAAGTGGCTCAAGTCTGGCTTCTTTCCCCATAAGGCTTCAAAGGGCATCACAGCAAGTCGCCGAGTGGGAGATCTGTTTTTCAGATAGTTCGTACAGTGAACGGCTTCAGCCCACAAGGATCGCGGGAGTGGATTGTCATCGTCGGCATCGTTGAGGAGAGCTCTCCCTCCCTCAATTGCAGTCTGGTTCATTCGTTCTGCCACTCCATTCATTTCAGAGGTTGAACGTGGAGTGGTCTCGTGGGTAGTTCCCTCATCCTTGAGATAGTTTTCCATTTCTTTTGACACGTATTCACCTCCACCATCAGAACGGAAGACCTTCAGCTTCCTACCGGTTTCCTTCTCAACTCTCGCCTTCCATCGAAGAAAAGATTGGAAGAAGTCCTCCTTTCTAGCGAGAAAGTCATCCCAGGTGAACTGCGTAGCATCGTCCTTATATGTTACAAGATACTTCACACCAGAAGTCGAAGCAGGGGTAATAGGACCACACAAATCAGAGTGAACAAGCTCCAGTGGGTGTTTTTTCAACTCTTGGATTTTCCGAGAAGGATGTCGGTGTGCTTTTGCCACCACACAAGGCCGACAGAACCCAAGTGTTTCTCCTTTGTTAATACGGAGTCCAGTCGACAAGTCCATTAACTGTCGGATGCTCGAGAGGTTCAAGTGTCCTAAACGAGCGTGTATGAGTTCAAGATTCTCCTTTCCCACAGCGTTTGCTTTGTTCTCAAGCTTCTGAGTGAGAAGGTATTGCCCACGGGAGTATTTTCCTTCCATGACTGATCTCCCATTCAATTTTCCTGTGACAGTTCCTTTCGCAAAAGTCCATTCAACAGATTCTAGTTGATTCACAGACAGTAGATTCATCGTTGCTGTCGGAGCGTATTGAACCTTTGAAAGCGTCACCTGCGTCAATCCATTCTCATTTAGACAGAGAAGTTTAACTTTGCCTTCTCCAATGATGTTGAGGCAGCCAGTGATACCTGAAATCAATTGAGGCGAGTCGTACAGTTCGTATTCGAAGAGAAGGGATTGTTCTGGTGTCAAATGTTGCGAGCATGCTGAATCTATTGACCAGTCTTCATCGATAGTCTTCTGTCCAACAGCGAAAGCAACATTGGAGTATCTGTCTTCCTTCTCCTTCACACTGTGCTTGACTTTCTTCGCTTCCATCTTCTTCTTGATATTTTCAGGAATCTTCTCAGGGTGTTTCTTCCAGCAATCCTTCTCCTTGTGACCCTTGGTCCCACAGTGATTGCACTCCCCCTCAAACTTCTCATCCGTATTATCGTTCTTTTTCCGATTCTTCCAGGCCTTCTTGTCACCATTCGCAGTTAATGCGACATTGTCCTTCTTTCCGGTCTCTCCACGGAATTCTGCTTCCTGTTTCTGTCTCAGGTTCTCATTTCGAAGCATCCATGTTGCAAGGTTGAAGGTAAGCTCGTTGTCTTTCATTGTGTCCCAGATCTGCACTGTTGTGGCAAATTGTTCAGGCATCGTTGCCATTTGGAATATGATATCCGTCAGATCTTCCGTTTCCTTGACTCCAGTTGCTCTGATATCCGACTTGATCTTCTTGTATCGTGAAAGAAACATTTCCAGGTCTTCTTCGTCCGGATTGAATCGCATCTTCGATTTCTGTCGATGAAGGGCAATGAACTCTCTTCTTCCCGTCTTCCGGAAAGTATTAGCAAGAGTCTTCCAAAGGACTCTCCCGTCCTCGAAGTCCTCAAATGCCAGTCTACTGATGACTTCATCACCAAGAGCTGTCGCAATGATCGTCCCTGCCTTCTGTTGCTCAGCAGTACCATCCTTGGTGACACTATCTGTCTTAGCCACAACGTATAGCCAGAGACCCGCTCCCTGAAGGAGAACTCTCATTTTGATAGGCCAAATTCCGTATGTTTCAGGAGTCACTCAACTGCTGTGTCAAGTATCAGGGGTACTCCAGGCGCGAACCCAGGCTCATATGAACAGAAAAAGTGGAGGGAAAGGAAGCGCAAGAGGCATATAATGCGGGTAGTCTATCTATACGAGAGGGAGAGGATATCCTTCAGAGTGCTGAGGTTAATGTTCAAATCCGTACGGAGGTGGCAAGTGAGAGTAGTCAGCAGGTGGGTTCTACAGGCCAACAGCAGCGCTGTGGAGTATGTGGCACTATAGGGCATAATGCCCGTATGTGCGAGAGTTGCCAGGAATCAATTACAATTGAATAAGGGTCATTATGTAGGGTGGTGGTGTAGTAGTAGTTGTAATAGTTAGATTTTGGTGTTTTGGTGGCCCACTCACTTGTGTGGCCCACTCGCTTGTAAAATATGTTAGCATATTCTAGAATCTACAATCTAGGTATATATAGAGCCTTTAACTCCCTTCTTAACTAACTTTTTTTATTAAAACAAAAGCAACAATAACAACACCTTATAAACCTTTATTTATAGCTTTACTAATAGACCCTCATTTAAAGAAAATAGGGCTAAGTAAGCTACATTATACATAACAAGATGAATATAAAGCTATAGAAGCTATAGAAGAAGTATATCAAAGGTAACGTACATGTATAACGAACCGGCCAAACAAGCGAACAGGACAAAATATCGCGACCACAATACCCCCCCACTGAATGCTAAATTACTCAACAACAAAACATGCCCCAGAAAAATGATGAAAGCCAGTTGATGCTAGCTATCCAAGCTATACAAAGCGACCCAAAGTTACGTCCTCGAGTTGCTGCTAAGATCTATTCTGTTGACCACCGTTGTAAGGGTTTAGGTAGACAGCGTGCTAAGACCGTAGGTTCGAGTAGCCAGTATCGTATTCAACAAACTAATCTCTGAGCCCTTCCTAGTAGGGGGCTCAGCTACTTTATCTACTCCCCCAGAGTCGGGCCCCCGCCGTCTCGGTTGCGAGTCGGAGCCACGACAACAGCCTAATAGCAGCCTAAGGCCCTAAGGCCCCCCTAGCAGCCTTAGGCCGCTAGAGGCACCGTAGCGGGACGTCTCCGACGCGGGACCGCAACCAGCTCCCCCTTCCTACTGACCTCCTCTTAACCTACCCGTGACAACCGCAAGCTAGGCCGTCGTTTATTAGGCATACCTTCACGATGCGATATTCAAGCCAACTTACGGAAATTAACTAACTTAGAGGAATCAGTCCTTGTTCAATATATACTCGACCTAGCTACCAAAGGGTTTCCTCCTCAGTTGTCTATTGTTGCAGATATGGCAAATCGACTACTTGAAACACGTGACGCACCACGCGTTGGGTCGCATTGGGCTTCAAACTTTGTTAAGCGGCATGTAGAGCTCCGGACACGCTTCCAGCGCAAATACGACTACCAGAGGGCTAAGTGTGAAGATCCAGAACTTATACGTGGCTGGTTTGAGTTTGTGCATAACACAATTGCGAAATATGGTATCCATAAAGCAGATATCTACAACTTTAATGAGACTGGGTTTATGATGGGTGTCATCTCAACTGCTACTGTTGTAACAAGCTCAGACGGGCGGGCAAAAGCAAAGAAGGTACAGCCTGGCAATCGGGAATGGGTTACAGTAATCCAAGGCGTTAGTTCTCAGGGTTGGGCAGTGCCGCCATTCGTCATTGTTGCAGGCAAAAACCACCTTGCATCTTGGTATGAGAATAGTGGATTTCCAAGCGATTGGGTAATTGCTGTTACTGAAAATGGCTGGACTACAAACGAGAGAGGCATGGATTGGATTCAGCATTTTGAGAAGCACACAAAGCTGCGGAGTGTTGGTGGTTATCACTTATTAGTCCTTGATGGTCATGAGATCCACCACTCGGATAAGTTTGAGGAGTACTGCAAAGAACACAACATTATAACTCTCTGTATGCCCGCTCATTCCTCTCATCTACTCCAGCCACTTGATGTTGGCTGTTTTAGCCCATTAAAAAGGGCTTATGGTCGGCAAATTGAAGATATGATGCGGGCTCATATTTCTCATATTACTAAGGATGACTTCTTTCCTGCCTTCTATGCTGCATTTAACATTGCAATGACAGAAAGCAACATTCAAGGAGGTTCCGGGGTGCTGGACTTCTCCCATTCGACCCTGAGAGTGTGATCTCTACACTTGATCTTAAGTTAAAGACACCAACGCCTCCAACCTCCCGCCCGGGTACTGCTCAACCTTGGGTTTCCCAAACACCAAACAACCCAATTGAAGCCTCATCACAGTCTACCTTCATTAAAAACCGAATTGCGCATCATCAAAATAGCTCTCCAACCTCAATCTATACAGCTGTTGACCAGTTTACAAAGGGTACATCGCAAATAATGCATCAATTAGCATTGTTGAAGGCGGAGAACCAAAACCTGTGACAGGCAAATGAAGTGCTAAGCAAGCGCCGGAGAGCTAAAAAAACACGATTACAGCAAGGAGGATCACTTAGTCAACAGGTAGCACAGGAGCTACAGGACGAGAGGGATGTTGTACAGCAAGTGGAAGAAGAAATAAGGGCGAGTAGTGGTCGGAAGCCAAGGGAAGAAATGTGTGCGCGGCTCTGTGGCAAGTGTGGTGGGACTAAGCATAATGCATGCACCTTTCAGATTGTAATAGACACGTCTGAGGAAGAGGACTCTGAGTAGTTTTAATTGATTTCTATTGTTGTGGTGGATTTATCACAAGATTTAGTCCAGCAGCTTGATATAACGGTAGACTACACGTTTGGGAACGGGATTCTAGGTCAACAGAATCATGGCTTCAAACCACAGTCACAAATCAGAAGGGTGTTGAACACCATGCACGAAGAGATACGGCCGGCTGCACAATCCCACCCACATGTGGCGGAGCTTGAACTGAAGGCCTACGGGCGAGAATAGATAGTTAAAGCCCTCAAACAAGGCTTTATCTCAGTCCCATGGCTCATGTTCATTGATGGTTTTGGTTTGTATCGCAATATGTACTGATCAATAACTGGTGTGTATGTTACACTTGCTGCCCAGCCCCTTAAGACGCGGATGCATCGTGCAAATGTCTTTGTGATCACTCTTGGACCGCATGGGTCAAACCTGGATGATGTTCTGCTGTCCATTTTGGACCTCCCAAAGCTGGATAGGGGCATGTCCCTTAATATCAATGGCGAGGAAAAGCTGGTTATGGCTTTTACGCTAGGATATATTGGGGACATGCCCCAGCAGAACACGATAATGCCGGGATACTACGCCAGAATGCAGCCAAGGGCTGCAGAAGCTGCTTGGCCTCGAAATAGGAGTGTGGAGACATCCACTTTGACTACATGAGGCTTGGCCAATACCACCATCACCAAGTCCAGCTCCGAGAGCATGGAAGCACACTTCCTCCTGCAAAAAAGAAGGCGTGGTACCAGTAATGGGGGATGCGTGAAACAGAGCCTGCGTTGTTCAAAATATCACCAGCGCTTGATATTGTGCTGAGTCGGCCTCCGGATGTGTGTCATTCAGAATATGGCAGGCAAGGGAAGCAATCCCAGCTTCTCCTCACAACGGCAATACTGTCAAAATCGGGACTTCAAAAATACTTTAGAGAGTTCACAAGGTTCCCATCGTCAGCAAGATGGGGACGACGACAGTCGCCCCTTTATCATCTTAAATCCTGGAGCCTCTCTGAGGTGTCATACTGACATTCGTTGCACTCAGTTTGCTATCAAACTCAAGAGCAAACTTGGAAATCTCCTCCTCAAACCTACAAGTCACTATACATATTTTGGCTTATCACACCAACAACAAGAGCAATACTACTCAACGATTGCTACAACCATCTATGATTCATTACACGTCATCGCTCCTTAGTTACTGGGCCGATATTACCACATAGCATATCTCTACAACCCTCTATGATTCATTACATGACATCACTCATACTACCACATGACATATCTCTGCCAACTAGAGGCCTAGGAGCATGAACGATAGCTCTAAAAGCTCCTACGAACCTCTATGATTCATTACATGTCATCGCTCTTTAGTTACCCACAAGATTGGTTTAAGTTATGACATAATTTGTCTATGACATAATTTGTCTATGACATAATTTGTCTATAGGGGTACTCTGACCTTGGACCTCCTTTTACTTCCTATAGGCTACGAACCTAAGAGATGGTTCTATGGGATTCTCTTACGTCGACTACAGTTACCAAGCCTGGTAAGTCATGGAAAGTCTTGGAAAATGAGAGAACTACACTCCTTTAGCATAAATAGGATTGCCCTTTCCTTAAGAAAGGGCAAGCAGACAATACAGTAAATCGACTATCACATACTTCCACGTCTTTTCCAAGCTTCCAAGCATTCATCTTGTTACTCCTTGTTTCTGAAAAGTCAGTGAGGTGTTAACCTCTGACTTACCCCTGAGTTCCCAGACTCAACATTTGTTGCAACTTGTCTGAACCACTTCACTACATCACACACCTGATTGCTGCGTTGTGGAATAGTCTAAGCTACAACCCTTTGGCTCTGTTTCCTAAGACAGTGTGTTGTCTTAGTAAAATCATCCCTTCCTTGGGTGGCTAGATTCTCACATCTGGTGCACCCACCATTACATGAGGCTGGGATGGCCTCGATGCAAATGCCCCTGATATTGCGATGCATGCCACTCGAGAAGGAAGATATTGAGTGGAGGTTTTATAAAGGCCATGCAATCTGAATTCTGAACGAAACTGAGACTATTAAAGCTGACGCCAGAACAGCTTGTTGTGCTTGCTTTTGCATCGATAGCCAAGTCGAATGCAACCACTTGCGCATGGAGGATGAAGCCTGGACAGCACCAGGATGCCGAGAAGGCAATATTTGAGGGCCGTAGCATGTATCGGGGGCTCTGCAATGCTGCATCTCTGGCTTCACAGATGAAAGTTCGGAACCAAGGCAAGGGAAAAGGGAAAGGAGAACGCATCTCTAACGCCATCAGTTAGTCCACCAAGTGTTGACACAGCTACCGAGGATTTCTGCAGTGTTATAGATTCAATCGAGCAGTTGGTGCAACAAGAATTCGAACTGGTTACCAGTATGATGGATTTAAAAACAGCATCAGGATCCCTCAATGATTATATAAAATGGCGCAGCCGGCCGAACGTCCACCAAGGAGCCCATATCAACGATACAATTGGGAGGTATGGACATAGTTTCAACTGCAATGTTCTCCATTGTGAGGACAAGCATAAGTAGGTTGTCCTCCCCTTATTTATTTGATTCTATTCTGATTATTGAGATAGGCATTTTAAGAAGTGGGCGGAGGCACTAAATGGACGCTCAGTTGAGTGTTTTTTGATGATGCGCGAGTCAATCAACACGACCATTCGGCTCCTGCTCCAAGGAGCATTCAAGTATTCTGAGCCAGAGATTTCAAGTCAGTTGAAATCTCTCTACGAGAAATACCCAAGTCTTATGGGCCAGATTATGCCATCTCCAGAGCAACCTGATAATGTCGAAGAGATAACCCCAGGCATATTGGAAGATGCAGCACATATCTGGCCAAGGGCAGTGAGATGTGCTTCACAGGCCTACATACAAAATGACCTCGATCTCCCATTATCTATGAAGGGGATCCCAGCACAGCATCCATTCATTCGTCAGCTCCGGCAGGCATATACAAAAGACTATCAGATGCCGCATATAACAAATCTGGGAACACAACCAATTGAATGGTTCTCCCAGCTTGGATTTACAGATCCGTGAGTTTTCCATTTCCTAATATTATTAACTTGATAGTAGCTGATAAAAAGCCAAACAGAATCTCCCAGCGCCGCATTACTTTTGAGACTAGGATCACATTCTTTGTTCGTGGTAGCACCATGTGTCGTTTTGACATGGGCCTTGTTCATGAGTGGGTACTAGGTGAGAAGCGGCTGTTTGTCCTTGTCACCGAGCTTGCAGATTGCGGAGAGGAGGATGAGCTGGTCATGTTGCCGTTGGTAAGAATCAAAAACTCAACACAGATGATTGTTGGTCTCCCAGGTATTGGCACCAAGCCGGTTTATATCGTTGACACAGATCCCACAAGAAGGAATGAACCGGCGCCATTTGGGAAGGGCGGCTTGAGATTGAACACTACGGAATACCACGCTGAGCAGTTATCTTCGGCTGCTTTAAGTTATTCAGCAAAGTTCATTCATTGTTGGTGGGATGTAGGGCTGATGTGAGAGAGTAGGCATGGGGATATAGGGGACATAGGGATATGAAGGAACAGGAGCGCTTTTACAGACCAGAGGTGAGGTTGTAGCTGTAGCTGTAGCTGTAGCTTTAATAAATGTATCCAATTACCCGTATACTTATCTATTCCTATTTCTACCTATGATGCTTGTCCTGATGGTCTGAGGATGGTGATGTCAAAACTGCCCATCCCCGCCTTTCGTGTTTGGCGATCCCACGCCAATACTCAAAGTAAGAGCTGCCTCACCTCCAACTCACAGCCAGTCTTCGAATCAACCTTCGCTGAAGGTTTGATCTACCATCAGAGTTGGTATTGATTCAGTAAGGTCAGATAAGTTAATTTCACTTGAACGAAATGTTTGGATTTGAAAAAGCCAGTTGGATGCTTGCTCTCAAGCCTTATTCCGAGCTCTTCGAGTTCGTCAAAGCATCATTTGACCTCACCCAACCATCAAATCAATGCATTTCTAGCATCCTAGAACATCTCTGGACCTTTTCCGAGCATCTCTGAAGCTTGCATCAACCTGGCCCAAAGCATACCCCAGGATGATCTCTCCACCTTTCCTAGAACCAACAGCTGGCTAACCTTGGTGCAGATTGAAATCCATCAATTATACCCCCAAGAGGCAAATATATCCAATTAGAAAGCTTGCCGAGCTGCCTCCCAATGAATATCTCAGGCCCTCAACCAATTTCTCAGGCCCTCAACCAATATCTCCAATCCATCGGCAGCCATAAAGAAACCTCCCCTGTCTGCCAAGCTCGCTGAGCTACCTATCACGAAAACCTCCCCTGTCCAGCAAGCTTGCCGAGCTACCTATCATGAAAACCTCCCGTCTGGCAAGCTCGCTGAGCTACCCATCACCAAACATCTCCAGGCCATCACCAGCATCACCAAAACCTCCCAGCTAGCAAGCTCACTGAGCTACCCATCACCAAACATCTCAAGGCTAGCGCCGGCATCACCAAACATCCCGACCGGCAAGCTCGCCAAGCTACTCATCACCAAACGTCTCCAGGCCATCGCCGGCATCACCAAACATCCCGACCGGCAAGCTTGCCGAGCTGCATATCTCGTGTCCTCTCTGGCATTGCCTCCCTCAGGTAAGTCATCTGTCTTCCCACCAAAATTCCTTGATTCTACAGACTCAAGACACACACCCTTGGTGGCCTTTGGACACCAACTATGAGCCTCCCCGGACACCCTGGATTATGCTGCCACTCTCCCCGGCCTCTCCCAGGATGCCTCAAAAGAAGCATCTTGTGCACCTTGCTGGTCTGAATGTCAAGATTTGCGCAATTTCAAAATTTGTATGGGGTTTCTGACGCCCAAAGTGTCATACTGACATTTGTTGCACTCAGTTTGCTATCAAACTCAAGAGCAAACTTGGAAATCTCCTCCTCAAACCTACAAGTCACTATACATATTTTGGCTTATCACACCAACAACAAGAGCAATACTACTCAACGATTGCTACAACCATCTATGATTCATTACACGTCATCGCTCCTTAGTTACTGGGCCGATATTACCACATAGCATATCTCTACAACCCTCTATGATTCATTACATGACATCACTCATACTACCACATGACATATCTCTGCCAACTAGAGGCCTAGGAGCATGAACGATAGCTCTAAAAGCTCCTACGAACCTCTATGATTCATTACATGTCATCGCTCTTTAGTTACCCACAAGATTGGTTAAGTTATGACATAATTTGTCTATGACATAATTTGTCTATGACATAATTTGTCTATGACATAATTTGTCTATAGGGGTACTCTGACCTTGGACCTCCTTTTACTTCCTATAGGCTACGAACCTAAGAGATGGTTCTATGGGATTCTCTTACGTCGACTACAGTTACCAAGCCTGGTAAGTCATGGAAAGTCTTGGAAAATGAGAGAACTACACTCCTTTGGCATAAATAGGATTGCCCTTTCCTTAAGAAAGGGCAAGCAGACAATACAGTAAATTGACTATCACATACTTCCACGTCTTTTCCAAGCTTCCAAGCATTCATCTTGTTACTCCTTGTTTCTGAAAAGTCAGTTGAGGTGTTAACCTCTGACTTACCCCTGAGTTCCCAGACTCAACATTTGTTGCAACTTGTCTGAACCACTTCACTACATCACACACCTGATTGCTGCGTTGTGAAATAGTCTAAGCTACGACCCTTTGGCTCTGTTTCCTAAGACAGTGTGTTGTCTTAGTAAATTCATCCCTTCCTTGGGTGGCTAGATTCTCACATCTGGTGCACCCACCATTACACACAGGCCCCCCCCCCCTTTGGATTTTTGAAAAAATGGCAAAAGCATTTCTCGACCCCCATTTTGGCCCTGTTTTTGGCCCTTTGCTATGCCAGCTCCATGGAGCTGTTTTTAGGTGATAGTCATAGGTGGCGCATACCTACGTATCACATCACATGTAAGTTATGACTTTTTCCTTTGGTATTTATGTTCTGTGAACTTTGGGTGTCCCTAGTTGCGACCATCTGTGGGCGACTATACACAACAGTAGGTTGAAGCTTTGCATTTAGAATTGAAACCTCTTCCTTCTTCTCTCTTTTCCTTTTTCAGTGATTTATATGCTTAGAGGAATGACAAAGGTAGGTGCTTGGATACAGTAAGTGACTCTACTCTCAATGTCCCTTAGGTTTACCTCTCTTCTTATCTTCTGCGTTATTTCTTAACCATTTACTGAACATACCCAATTACGAGGGATCACTGCATCGACAGCTTCATTTTATCTACGATATGAAGCCTTATTACCATCTATTCAATCTACCCGTTCAACCTTCCTAAACAATTGGAACTCCAAACCATGAGCTTTGGGTGGCCGTGTGCCACCGGTGCTTCAACCTTTATTTTCAGGCCGCCGTTTACCCAATTTCACAGTCACAGAACGGTGCCACCACTCAAAAAAATTTGGCTGGGACCCCGGTAAGGTAGTGTGACTAACAAAGAAGTCACGGGGCTAGCGGGGCTAGGCTACAGCCTGACCAGGCTAGTGGATAGTTGCAGAAACTAGTGGATATTGGATAGTTGAGCTATCCATCAACTATCTGGATTACCCATAAGGCATGACACCACTATACAAGTAGATAGTATTCCCTTAGATAGGAGCTTCATGCTCAACTCAATATAGTATTTTTTTCAATACTGTAGCGTGTTACTTGGAAAGCCTTTGTGTTTAATCCCCTGCCTCCTCTGTCAAGTCAACCTTATGCAAGAAACCTCTGCGTCTTCTATCGTTTAGAAGTCAGTGTTACACTTAGCCTCAATATGCCAGTATGGTGGAGCTCAACAAATTATATGCTTCATTTAGCATTAAGATTACAAGGTCTAATAACAGCTCTCTGTGCATCTTAACAGCTTGATTTAAGTATGAAAGATATAGCTTTAACAGCAAAAGATTAGCAAACGATGAAGGCGTTATTAGATTTTTTCTATATCTTTATATGCCTAATAGAGTAGCTACAAGGCTCTTCTTATCCTACTTTAAATTATGCTGTTATATAGTATATGAGAATGACACAACAGCTTGAAGTCTTTAAAGATAGATATACAGAGAATAGCATAATATATGATGCTTGTTTACCAGCATTAAAAAAGCTTAATGAGTATTATACACTTGTAACAAATCAACAGCGGAGTCATTCAACTATAGCTATAATATGCGACCTACATTATAACTTTAATGTATTTGATATTATCTAGCCAAAAAGCATTCAAGACATGCGAAAAAGGCGGGCAAAAGCATAATGGCAAGACTGTTATTATAAATATTTAGGCAAGGCATTAGACATCTAAGTAGCAAAGGTTATGGAAAGTATCTAAGATGAGGAATTAGAAGATGAGGAATTAGAAGATGAGGAATTAGAAGATGAGGAATTAGAAGATGAGGAATTAGAAGATGAGGAATTAGAAGATGAGGAATTAGAAGATGAGAATTCTAAGAAGACAGAGTCTGATTCTAAGGATGAGCTATATGTCTTATAACGGCAGCTAGATTTAGATCCAGAATAGAAGCGCTAGATGAACGAGCCAACTCTTAGGCCTAAAATTGATATACTGAAGTTTTAGGAAAGTAAGCCATACTAATATCCAATACTTGCCGCAATTGCCAAAGGTTATTTAGCAATTTCCTGCTATATCAGCAGAATCTAAGCGAGTGTTCAGTGTTAGTGGCGATATTATTACAAAGAAACAGAACAGATTAGCACCATCCACACTACGATATCTTATATGTCTTAGGAATTGGGGCGTGGTATTAGCAGGTGAGGATTCAGAGGAAGATGAGGATGCATAGTTACTGTATTTCCATAGTCTATATAGCTATCAATCATGTTTTCATTTTTATACTCGAGTACTACTCTACTCGAGCCCAAAAAACAGTACTCTACTCGAATATTAAGTAGTACTCTGAGTAGTACTCGGGCAACACTGAACGGAACCTTCTTTTCCTAGTTTCCACTAGCTGCTCTACTTAGTATCACGGAACTTGTTTCCGCCACCTGATTTGGCTCTGGTGCTGCTTCTAGAAGCCTGCCTGACGATGTTGTGACAGATAATAGTTTCATGAGTGTTTCTATATTATTGGTCAGGGGATGGAATAACCGCAGAACAGGCTGGGCTTCTGCATATTGTATTGCTTTGCGGTCCCTTAATTTGCACTGGCAGCTGGTTAGAAGATTTTTGTCCTATGCGCCAAAGGTTTTTCGGACCACTGTGTCAGAACTGCATCTTTTTACCTAGGCTCGTTAGACTTGGGCACATTGATGGATGGCTAAGGAGTCGCCGATGTCTCAAGATCTTTACATGAGCTGGTCGGCTCGAGGGTAATGGTGTTTCTCATACTCTTTGTAATATTATAGGTTTGTTGGTGGTGGCGCTCAAGCACGAGTGGTAATCACCATGGTTCTGCAACATATAAATATCACTGTTGGAATCCCTTTTTTCATACCGTCGACTGAAGTCATGA